GTGTCCCAGTCTTTTTGTTCTTCGGCTGGCTCTCTGAGTCTTGCTGTTCAGCTGAAGAGCTAGCCTTTTCCCTTTCGGGCCCTTTACCTCTGGGTTCAGATCCTTGAGCCGAAGCACTTAGGCCTTTCGGCTTTTTGGTGCTTGGCTCTCTTTCTTTTTCTTTCTCCCCCCCATCCTTGTCGTCATCTGGGCGACTAGTGGATGACTTGAGGTAGTTGCACCTTCGGGCGTCCTTTTGGTTGCCCTGTATCCTTTCGGGGAAGCCGGCGTCTGAGACGTAAATCATCAGCTGATGATAAGTTGAGACGACCCTTTGGATCTCATGAATTATGGGTCTCCCCAAAATCACGTTGTACACTGAAGGAGCGTGAATGACCAAAAATTCAATCATGACGTTCCTGGCTGCCTCATCGCAGCCGATGGTGATAGGAAGTGTCACCTTCCCATCTGGATAATTTGAAGCCCCGTTGAACCCGGATACCGGGTAGGGTACCGGCGTAAGGTGCTTGGGCTTCAGCTTGATTTGATTGTAGGCCTTTCGGAACAGAATGTTTGCTCCGCTGCCACCGTCAACAAGGACCTTACTGACGCCGTGGTTGGCCACCGTGGCGATGATCACCAACGGATCCTCGTGAGGGAACGTTATCCCCCGGCAGTCGGCGGCTGTGAACGTCATGTTCGGCACCGGCGGCTGGGGAGATTGAATGTCAGCGTTGTTCACCTGTTGAGTCAAAGCTCTAAGGTGTCGCTTGTGCTCCCTCCGAGAGTATATTCCTCCCGAGATAACATTGATCGGAGGGAATTTCCCCTCCGGCTTTTTACTGTTCTTCCGGGGGAAGTCGAGGTCTTGCCGACAGTCCTTTGCTGACTTCTCGGATTCTTTTTTCTCGCGGTGATCCGCGATGTATTTTTTCAAGTATCCCTTCCGGACCATGTCCTCTATCTGGTCCTTCAGTTGGATACACTCCTCAGTGTTGTGTCCCGAAGACTCGTGGAACTCGCACCACTGATTTTTATTTTTTCGCTGATACCACTCTGGGAGTGGTCTCGGCTTTCGGTAACTCTGCTCCTCCTTCGTCACGCCGTAAATTTTGGCGCGTGGAAGAGAGAGCGGAGTGTAGGATTCGTATCTGCCTGTGTATGAGGCAGATTTTTCCTTCTTTGGGTCGCTGGCCGAAGATTGCTCCGAGGCCTTTGACTTTCCCTTTGCCTTATGGCCTTGGCCTTCAGACAAGGGTATTTGTTTTTGTTTCCCTCCCCCAAATTGAGGTTGGGTTTTCGCTTTGTTCCATTCTTCGGCTCGGATGAACTTATCCGAGGCGTTCAGAGCTTCCTCCAAGGTCTGCGGAGTATGCATGACCATGAAGTCTAGGAACTTCCCGGGCTGAAGGCCATTCTGCATTGCAAAAACGGCTAGCCCCTGGTCCAGCTGAGAGACGCTGGATGACTCGTTACTGAAACGGGTCAGGTAGTCTCGGAGGCTTTCGGTTTCCCCCTGTTGCAGACTCATGAGTTCTGCAGTAGTCTTCTCTCGGCGGTTTGCCGTGGAAAATTTGCTCCTAAATTTGGAGGACAGATCATCCCACCCTGTTATGGAGCCTTGCTTTACTCCCTTGGAGATCCACGCTTGCGCGACCCCTTGAGAGTGGTTGGGAAATATTTGCACCAAGTCGCTTCGGATCTGGGGCAAAGATGCATATGAGTCTCATACGAGGCCACGTGATCTTTCGGATCCGAGGTCCCGTCATATGTGATGTGCGACGGTATTTTAACCGTGGGCACGTGCTCTTCCAGTATCCATTGCTCGAATGGCGAACTGGCGGGTAGCATAACGGCCTTGCCCTTGTTCCTGGCCGAAGGGACCGCGCTCCACCCTCTTAGAGAGGTAGGAGTGGTTTTCGTCCCTGGCTGGGAAGTCTGGGCCTCGGCTGCAGGGAACGAGAGGCGACTGCGCACGCTCGGTTCCTTGCCGCCGAGTCGGTCGAGGACGCTTCGGCGAACAGTCTCAGGTTCTCGGTGAGTAGATTCTGGCCGAGAAGCTGAGCTGCTGCTCTTATGCGTTTCTGGTCGGGAGGATGAGGATCCTCTTAAAAATTGAGGGTTTTTTTTCCTCTCTTTTTCATTTTTCCAGGTATCCTCTTCCCACTCTTCCAGTTCCCGGAAGGAAGGAAGCTTCCCACCATCATGGTTCAGCTTCCTCCGTTGATGTCGGGTATGCGGAGGAGTTCGATCACGAGGTGGAGGCATATTTTGTGCCCTCATCGCCTCCATGAGCACTGCCAGCGCTCTTTCCACCTCTTCCGAGCTGGGCCCCGTCAAAGGGGTCCTCGGCCGAGTATGGGAATGAGGGCGCACAGTCGATGGTTGGCTTTGGGGCACTGAATGTGTCCTATGATCGGACTCACCCCTGCTAGACCGAGAGTGACTCGGCCTATAATGAGAGTCATGAATTACGGGAGAAAGGGAATCCTCCTTGTATGATCCTCCCCCCGAGCTGGCACCCTTGGGAGAGTTCCGGTCCGGCGAGGGTGATGGAGTAGGGGTTTTAGGCTTTTCGCCCGCTCCTTGACGGAGGCCTTTGCTCTTGCGGTTCTTAGCCATTGCTACTAAGATAATTGCAAGATGATTTTGGTTAGAAATTTGGCTTAAAGATTTTTGAAAGTCTTCCCCACAGACGGCGCCAAATTGTTTTGGGTGAAAACAATGGGACCTTGCCGAAGGTTCGCTGAAACGGAGAAGACTAGATTCGGTCCAAGTAATGTTGGGCCGAAGGTTTCCTGCACAGTAAACACACGTAAACTAGCCTCGGGGGTGTTGCCGAGGAAGGCCCCTCCGATGCTAAAGTCAGTACAATGTGTAGAAAGAGAACACTATGCAAGAGAATTAGTTGCTTGAGGCTTTGCTTGAATATATGAGAATATATGAGAATGTATGGGAATCTATGAGAATATGTGAATGAATGTGTATATCCTCTAAAAATGTAATATTGATGGCTTTTATATCTCTTCATACATAGAGAAGTTGGGCCTTAGCCCAATTGGCTTGCTGAGAGGGCTAATCTTTGACTTTAGCACAATTGGAGAATTGAACCTTGACCTTGGGCTTTTAATTGAATCAATTAATGCCTAGGCCCAATTGGACTAAATTGGACCCAAACAATAGTATTACGGCGATAGGTTCCATACGGCTGAAACCCCGTCCGTACAGGTGAGTGGTTATTTTGGTTCGGTTGTTGAAGTTGGTTTTGGTTTGTGTTTTGGTATGGTTCTAACCTCACACCCAGGTGTAAGGGGGAAATAGGATTGTTTAAATTTGGTATGGTGTATTGGGCATAGGGGTCTTGGTTAAGGCCAATTCTCCTCCCCGGAGAAAGCCGCAACGCCGCTCCACCAATCCGTGACTCCTTGGCATTCCCATCTTCAACCTCACTACCACTCGAACTATCTGACCCTGTGAAATACACGGTGTCATTACTGTCATTAGAGTTGAAGTCGGACTCTGTCACTTCAACTTCCTGGTTCTGTTCTGCTAAGGGCCTGTCTTCCGGTTCCTCCAACCAAGTTAAGTTCACTGCCAAATTGCGATGCCTAAAGATATTAGGAAACCCCTGCACATAGTTAGTATAATAGGGGTAGTCTAAGGGCCCATGTAAAACCCATAGACCATCCCTTTCCACCGCCGCAAGACGCCGAAATAAGCGCCTCGCAGCTACATCAATTCTCAGCCTGCAATTAGTTGAGTTATGCCCAACACAGCCACATCTTTTACAAAAACGAAAGATACCTTCATACCTGAAGTAAACCCATATCACACGACCATCTGAGAGAGGAATATAGCATCCTGGAATAAGTGGCAGCGAAATATCTATCATCATTCGTGCCCTCAGCTCTGCTCGCTCTGGCAGCCTGCCATTTGGAATCGGCTCAAGTTGATCCAGGTACCCCAAGTGGCAGAAAATTCGTCTTGCCCACGCTTCAGTTAAGAACTGAAGTGGCAAGACATACACTCTCACCCAGATTCTAGATGTATTAAAGTTGATTTGTTGCGGAATAAGATTAGCCTCGTATCGCCTTAAATTAATAAGGCGGCCTTCAAAAGTTGACGTGCACTGCCTCACCAACCCATCCAATTCATGAGGTTCAATACACTCGAATATATAATAATTTCCAGTACGGTGAACACGCACATGTGCCCTCGAGACCCACCTCTGATTAACAATGTGTTGAACGTAGGAGACAGGTGGTGGATTGGGACCTACAAAAACCCCAATAGCACATCTATTGAAGTTAAGAATACCTAAAGCATAAAAATTTTGTGGAGGATTCACTAAGACACCCATTCTATGGGGCCGGGGATTGTTTCCATTTGGAGGGGGGTTATTATTCTCCATGATTCAGAGAATAATCAGAGAAGAGGAAAGGGAAAGCTACAAAACAAAGAGAAGGATAAGAAGATGTGTAAGAAGCCGAAGTAAATGCAAGTATAAATAGCTGAAGAAGAGCAGCAGAATAAGAAAAAACCCAAGTGCATGGGGAACAAGTGTCCCTTCTTAAATGCACCAACGGTTTCTTGCTGCAGTAATGAAGAAATTCAGTTTGATGGGCTCGATACAAATAATAGCACTCCTGCTAATTCAATTGGTTAATAGCAAAAGTATAAGGAAGCTGCAGGGATTTTGTAAAAAAAATTTTGGAGAAAACCTTGGAAAGGGGATATTGCATGCCTTGGTAAACAAGAAGATCAAAAGGCAATCCCCTTTTGAAAGGGACGGATGAAAGACCTAAAGAGTAGAGAAAGCGTTTACCAAGAACTAGGGTTAGGGTTTGGGGAAATCAAGAACTCCAAAGGGAGACTCACTTCCTAGTGAGAGAAGCTCTCAATTTTAGAGAGAGAAAACTTGAAAAAAGAAGAGCAAACTAATTTCACTTCAGTAAAAATAATTTAACTTTAACAAAAATAATTTCAGTTCAGCAAAATTAAGGTGAATAGAACAGGGCCTAAGAGAGAATGAATCAAAAATTGGAATACGGTACCTAAATAATAATACTACAAGTATATATTTAGTTTTTTCAATTTCTAAAGTTGTTAAGTGAATCAGAAATTGAGATAGACTACCTAAAAGCCACAATATGAAATATCGTAAGTAATTTCTGTAAGGAAATCTATTACGTACTAAATTCTGCTTCTAACAAATACAAAAGGGCACCAAAAGAATATGAATAAAGAGATGAGAGCAAAAGCAGGGCCAAAATTGTTATTTACAGTAGAGGTGATGTATCAAGTACAAGGTCACTTGCCATTGGCATGAGAGTGCTTATTAAAAGGCCAAAAATTCACAAGGCGCTCAAGAACAGCAGAGGACTTGGAGAAGTAACCGGTGAAAGGTATGGGCGTTATGGGAGGTGGGAAATCTTCAGCAGGCATTGCAAATGGGCAGAACATATCTTCCATCTTCTCAAACGTCAAACAAGATCCTACTTCTTGCAGTCTCTCTGGACCCATGATGGGTAAAGTATGCTCCTGATGCAACCAATTGGCTTCGCTGTCTTTATTCTGCAATGAAATGCAAAACATGGGTGAGGCTCGCAAATGAGAGCATAACCTAAGCACAAATTTTTCTACATAGATGATGTAACCAAACAATTGCTTAATGCACATAAAATATTTATTGCAATAATTTAAGTCTTTAATGTTTGTAAAGTCACCCAAGAAAAAGATATCCTTGGGATCAAGAATTAGACGGACATGTGAAGGCAGAAATTCTTCTTGACTTGGAATCGTAGTACCAAAATCTCAAGGTAAAAAGGGTCCTTGAAATGCTAAGAAGAAGCTGACCTTTTATAGTTACTCCCTCAGTCCCATTGGGATTGTCCCAGTTGACCATTTTTTATAAGAGCTTTTCGGGTCAAATGGGGCAATTCCAGTGGGACGAGAGAGTTTAAACACTGGTTCTTAACCATTAACCATTGATATCAGATGGAAGAAACAAAAAAATTGTGCTGACGGGAATTGACTTCTTTCTAGATGATGAAAGAGAAAAAGGTTCAAAATGGGACCATGGAAGTTGAAATTCAAATTGAGAACACCTATGAGAACATTATCTTCAACACACTGCTATCAAAATCTATAACAAGCAAAAAAGAACACTATTTATTATAAGGAATTTACCTCCAGGGGTGATAGATCAGCACCACGACTAAATGTCAATTCAATGCGGAACCTTTTCGGGTCATCTTGAGCTACCTGCAACACCATTTCATCATCATTTATTGGCTAAGTTGTAGAAAATTAATTTTATATAGTACATAATTTTCACATACTCCATCTTACAAATCATAACACATAATTTATAATTTCAGAGCCATGTCATTATACAGTACTCACTAAACCAAGACCTCACACTGTCAATCAATTTAAGTTCAAGGGGTTTTCAATTGTGTCCTAGATACAAGTAGAAGCGACACAGAATGGATACTGCAGTCGTAGCAACACCTTCCTTGTAGGCAAGCACTGGCTTGTCGTATGCAACTAGATAAGGATAATCTCAGAAGCAAACATTCAAAGTTTAAGCATTGCAAAAAAGCATCAAACACCTTCCTCCAAATTATTGACTTTTCGTAGTGTCTCAGCCCTATTTTGGTCAGTAACAAATAATAAATTCGAAGGATCCACTGACAAAGTGACAAACAACGAAAAAAAATTACAGCGGCCTTCAGTTTTTGGTCACCCGAAATTCCGAATGCATACTAACAAAAAATTCAAGATCAATTCTCATAGTTAAAGCTCCATAAATATGTATGCATTTATCATGCCTTTAACTATTCATTTAAAAATCTATTTCCAGGTTACGAGGTCTGCAATTTAACACATGTTTCAACATCAACTTCATTTGAAAAGAGGGAAACCTCAAGCAGAATACTAACCTCTATGTTCTCGAACATCCTCAATACTATGTAACTCATGTAATCAAGCTCCTTAGTTTTGAACAGCCGCTCCAGAGCACTAAGACAAACAAGGCCCTCTTCTCCTTGTAATGATTCATCCAAGTTACAATAGCGAAGGACATTCATCAAGGAATGAATATGAGATTCCTGTCATTACATAGAACTTGAAAATTTAATGACTGCAATTCAGCCACAGGGAGGGAGCAGTTGTTAACACATTTAAATCCACTGATAACAAAAGTTACTGACCGATGTAAAATAAAGTCGTGTCTTAACATGCCGTTCTGGTGTCCTTACATTTGCATACCTGAAAAGATATTTCAACAAATCATAATATCAGAACTCACCATCAAAAAAAAACCTGAGGTTATTGAAAAAAATAAAAAAAACAAAGCAGTTTAAAAAATAAACGCACTTTGGATCCAAGCGATATTCGGTTTCTTTTTCATCATCATCTTCGTGATCAATTGAAATATCAGTAGCACTAGATCTCCTTGTATCTTCATTCTTTGAGTGCGTTTTAGAACGAGTGTTAGTATCTTCTTTCTTGCTGGATTTCATAGGCTGGGCATCATTACTCTTCAGTTCAGCAGGCTGGGTATCATTACTCTTCAGTTCAGCAACATTTATAGCTTCTTCCCGAGTGTTCCTCAAATCAATCAATATTTTACCCAACAAACGACGTGCAATCTGCATTCAAGCGTGAAAAGATAACATATTTGGCCTTTAAAATAATCCTGTGATCCCCTTTTTAGATGTCTTCTACAAATTACCCAGTGCCCAAAAGAAATAGGAGAATTCTTGCTCTTTTACAAAGTAAACAATTGGAAATATCTTTATAAATCTCTTACATTCAATAGTATCCCATCAATAGCCAAACAATTGAATTTTAAATTTTTTACGATTTCATTTTTCAAAGTTTCCAGAGACACAAGGTTCCCAAATAAAATGGAAAAAAAAAAAAAAAAAAAAAAAAAAAAACAGAGACATTAGATCTCAGGGGATGTCAAAAATTATCAGCTTTGAGTATGCAGTTCACTGTCGCCAGGGAGTAAACTGACACTGATACTACTTAGCACACTCTTTGATTGAACCCCCAGAATATCTAGGTCTGGCAGAAGTAATACAGGAAAGCCATGCAAAATGCTAAAGCTTGAGGGATAAAACTTAAATTGTAAGGCATGAGCTCAAATGAAGTTTATTTAAGTGCTGCCAAACCACAGATCTCATAAACGAAATTTTGTGTTAAAAAAAATGGGATGAAATAAGGTTACATTTACAGTTCCAAATAAAAATACCTTTGAACCAATTTTCAGCTTCTGCTTGGGATTGATCCCATACTCATTAGGAATAACACCATCTGCGAGTGACTGGAAGCACAAATGACAAGTCAGAATAACTATTAAGTTATGACAGTGGTTAAAGCAAAGAAAACAATTGGTAAAGCTAATGGCCCTAATCGCTTATTTATCAGTTATTCATAAGCACCCAGGCACAACACAATAAATAGTAAGAGATTATAGCGCAATTAAAAGAAACTAGCAAAAAATCATATTTAAAAAACCGTGAGACTGGGCTATCGTGTGAAAGGGCAAGTATAACTCATTAGAACTTTAGAAGTAGCAAATAATGCTACAATATTACAATTAAGCAACACCGATCTAGTAGTCATGTTTGTGAAAACATAGAGAGCAAAGAAAATATTGACATTCTTGGTACTGTTCGGAAATTATGCATTACTAGACAGCAGCTTAACCGGCGCCGGTTCCACATACCTTAGCAACATTAAAGAGTTCGCCCAAGCCTTCAAGATTGAGGTGAGCATTGTGTAAGAGATCATATCTGTCAACAGGAGATGTGATCTATTAACAAAAAATCATCATACACTATTTGAATATTCTGATGCATCAATGCAGGCCTTATGTATAACCCAACACCAACCACAACACCATTGTCAAACACAAAAAGGATAAGCCCCTACAACCCCCTCCCCCCTCTTCTACTAATTACAGAAGACAAACCACAACTGAAAATGGAAATCATGCAAGAAAAGACTTTCACGAATTCTCCAGTAACATGATGAAAAGCTTAGTCAATACAAGCAGTCCGTATAACATCATCATGAAACCTGAAAATAATTGAAATTGGGACTTGGGATATACGGATGTCACATGACAATCTGCATATCGCGAGATACATTAAGTTTCCATTAAGTATTGAGCAAGCACAGAATGAGTGCTATCTTCAAGGTTAATTGGGAGTTTTTTTTTTTTTTTTAAGAAAAAGAAAAAAAAATAAAAATAAGAGACACCTATCACAAGCTAAATTGACAAGAAAATAAATTAAAGCTGCAGAGAGTAATATCCATTGCAATGCAAACAACCATATCAACTGATAGTCAAGTTTAAATCTAACAAGTGACAAGGTTTACAAGTGGAATACTAACTTGCACGAATCGTAGACATCTGGAATTTGAGTAATATCATATCTCCTGCAAGAAAGCTTTTAGATGTCAATGTAATATCCCACAAACCAAAAACTTCCATTTATAGCAATAAGACAATAAAGTTCACATGTAAAAACAGACAAGTTATAGGCAAGTTTAAAAAAAAAATGTCACATGGATAGGTTTAATTCTTTGAGATCTAGATTCTTAAACACCTTCTTCCCATTTGATGAAAATTAGATTCTTAACAAGTTTTCTTCCTAGATTTCATTGACATGTTGGTAACTTCATTTGTCATTGTAATTGCATTACTTACGCTTTTCGTTCGTTATATAAGTCTCTTTCTAGTTTTCTCCAACGTGCATACATCAGAAGAAATCCCTCATTGCCACAAGGTAATCCAGCAGCAATCCGATCAACATCAATATTAGTCTTTCCGAGGGCCTTAGCTTGATCGTATGGAGGGAAGACATCATATGAGCTTTTTTCTGCAAGCTTTTCATCTTCTTCTTTAGCAAGCTGCCTCACTTGTTCGGTAACCTTCTTAGTTAACTCCACCTAGATAATCAGAATTCAGCCCAAAGAAGAAATAAAAAATTATCCATCAGAACTTGTATACCTCAAATTAGTGTTTATACAAGAAGCATGTGTTCATAGTCAACCAGGAAATATATCATATGCCAAATATGGGCACTTCTTTTGTGAGCCACATTATTTGTAAGAAAAAGAAATTAAAGTCAATTAATTCTAATTAGATATTTTTACTAAATTTTTATAAAATAATTATGCAAGGCATAACAGTATGATTCGGTCTTACTTGAAATTTACAGGAGCAGTTATTGCATTCTAGAAATTAAGCAACATGTATACTTCCAAAATAAAATCCACACATACATGCAGTCAAATGATACATGTTCTCATTAGTCATTATAGATACCGCTAGTCCTCGTAAACATATATACAACAGCTGATATTCCAAAGGTGAGGGAACTCCTCTCGGACCAAACCTCGAGAGAAAAAATGAATGCAATTGATATAAAACAACAGGCGCAAAAAATAAAATCTAGATTTCCAAAAAAAAAAAGCTCATTTTCAGAAGAGCCATAAATCTATCCAACCCGGCAATTTTGTTATCAATAACGATGGAGATTAAAAAAAAAAATCAGGTTGTTTCCATAAAGCTGAGAAAGAGACATGAAATAAGGAAAAAAAAATCACACTGGATTAGGTATTAATCTACATACCAATTTAGGTAGGCACTCAGAAGCATTAGGAGGAAGTCCAGCTCCATCAACCATCCATGGAAATTCAGGTGTTCCATTATTGTGAGAATTTGGTGCTCCTGAAGTTATAATCTCATTCAACCTTGCCTGTTTAGAGGTTACTCAAGTGAGTACACGTGAAAGTTACTGTAATCTAGTCCATGTTAAAAGCAAAACATAATACACAACATAGTGTAGTAAATAGTAATATACCAACATAGCACACAAAAAGCCAATAGGACTTGCGTTGCTCGATCGGGGGCACCTTTTCCCAGTCAAACTGGGCAAGACACAGATCAGTTTTTTTTTTTTTTTTTTTTTAAAAAAAAATTTATATTTTATATTTTTGCCTTATATTTCCCTTTTGAATTCTTTCCTTTGCATCATTGTTCCTACTATTTATGAATAAGCTCCATTTATCTATCTACCGTTCCGACATTGCAATACATTTATTAACTGTAAAATCTTTTATCTTTCATCCCACAAATTTGTTAAAAAAAGTTAAATCAATAGGTAGTAGGAACAATGAGGATTCAAGAAAGTTAAAAAAAAAAAAAAAAAAAAAAAAAATGACAGCAACAGAAGCATAGATATGATTCTAAGAGATTCTACATTATAATTGAAATAATTTATGAGGGAAAGAGGGAGTAAAATTAAAAAATAACCTTTGCCTGCTCCATCTCAATGCTAGCATTATCAAGTCCATCTAACATTGAGGAGTCTTTACTCACAAGTGAAACCTGTGATTTAAAAATGTCAGCTTCCACATAGAACAAATTGACTTTCTTAAGAGTAATCGCTGAGAGAAAGAACATGACATACAAGAATTGGGGTAAGTTGCCCTTCTAAATCCAGTAAACCTTTGGCAAATGCAGCTGCTGACATCTGTCATCAATAATGCAACTATTACTAATGTTCATAGTTCATTAAGCAGTTGATTTTCCAGCAAAAGTAAAAGGGTATTTCAGGATCAACATTAACATTGTTTTGTTGACCAAAAACACTATTTGGATAGAGGAGATGACCAAAAGCTCACCTGGACACGGCCTTCATCAGAGCTGTATATCTTCAGATCGTGTCGATAAGTGCTGTGGAGACGGAGAAGACCAGTTCCTTCACCTATAACATTCCAAATTAACTATGTTACAACATGTCAAACCATTAAAGTAAAAACAATGCCAACAAACAATAGAAGAACTAGAAGAAAAAAAGGAAAATTTTGCCTCGATTCATGCTTATAAATTTACCATTATGCCAACGTGGCAATGCTGATGTTATTAATAATACATAGTGCATGGCAAAGGTTTTCATATCTAATTGAACACACAAATTTTAATGGAAAAATTGTCAAAAATAATACAAACTTTGAGCGGTCCGCTGAAAACAAGTCAATCTTTTAATTATTTCTAAATAATACAAACTTTGAGTAGTACCAGCTTTAAACAAGTTATTTTACCTATAACTTATTTAGCCGGTTAATTTTTTTATTTATCTTATAAACTTGTCTAACAATTTTAAGAAAATAATACAATGTCACGTGTTTCATATAACTTGTTCATTAAGTAACTAACCGTTTTTAACTTGTTTAAAGCGAATACCCTTCAAAATTTGTATTATTTAAAAATAACTAAAAGAATGACTTGTTTTTAGCGGAGCACTTAAAGTTTGTATTATTTTTGACAATATTTCCAATTTTAATTTTATAAAAAATCGTACTCATAAATCACAAAGATCAAGAAACTCTCATGCTTTAAAATATGTAATCTAATGACTGCATTCCAGATAATATTAAGAAATTTATAAAAATTATAGGTTGCAAATGGGTGTTTGCCTGTTTGGATCTGGTTTAGCATGGTAAATTTGGTTTGCATCATGTTCAGGTGATGAGCCATTAAGTTTGATCACGTCAGGTTATCTAATTTGAGGTACCAATCACAACTGGGTTGGAATATCTTGTTTCACCCCAAGTTCATTGAATTTCCCACATAACGCATACTTGCATAATTTCAAAAAAAATCTAAAATAGATAAAATCTACACTAGAGAATAAAGAGGACTAGAAAAAAAGAGCTTAAGATGAAAGCCCTAAAAGAAATGGAATACATAAGGCTTTTTATATGTGATTCAGGATTTTAATACAATGCACAGAAAAAAAATCAATAAACAGTGTTAAATGACAAACACATATAAAGAAGCAAAGAACCAGCAATGGGATATAATATACCTGGATACATATTATTCCGAAAATACCGACCAAGCTCTTCAGCCTGTTAAAGAAAATGGACAAATATATATATGTCTATTTTTATAAGATGGTAAAATTCATTCTAGTAGTGATAGCCTTTTCTTACATGTAGGCTAACCCAACACACATAAATGCACTTTGTAGAAAGCTAAAATATCTAACCTGCTTTCTGCCAGCATGTGTCAAAACACCTCCATATTTCAGGACCATTAAAGCTTCGACAGGTCTTTCTTCCTCACCATCACCATTATTTTTGGATACTTTTTCCCACTTCAATGGTTTTAGTTGGACCTTTCGATATATACCAGAGAAATGGCCACCCTACAAACCAAAGTATCAAGAACAGTCAAGCTTGACTCTGTTATAATACAAACAACACCTAATAAAACCAAATGCTGACAAACAGAGAAGATAGAAAATGCTCGCTGACCACCAGGCAGAAATGATGAGGAAATGGGCGATTTTCTATCAAATCAAGTCACCTCAACAAGGCCACTGTCAATAACTTGCCTCGGTTTATTTTTTCAAAATATTAACTTTACAGAACTATAATTTGATGTTAATGATCTAAAATGTGCGTTGCCAAGCATTAAAACCCCGATGTTGCAATTAAAAAAGAATGGAGGAAGTATAAATAATAACTTTCTAAGATATTGATTGTATTCAAGAAAGTATCTACGCCATATCAATAATCCTACTCCCTCCATTTTTTTAAGTGTTACACTTTCCTTTTGTGGTGGTTCCATTTAATTTTTTAAATGTTACACTTCCTTTTTGGCAATCTACTCCATTTAAATATTAATTCTCTCTCCTTTCATGATCCCCACTCAAACCCACTATCACTCTCACAAAAATGGCACAATGACAAAAATTATTCAATATTAGAAGTCTTGTACAAAGATCAGTCATTTGACTCAATTCATTATAGTTTCCACAAATTTACCTCTTCCAGCACTGTTTTGACTTGACGGAGCTTTTCAGCATGTTCAATATCTTCTGCCTCACTATCACTCTCTCTGTCAGGTCTGCACATCAAGTGGAAGTAGATTAAACGGATTTTAAGAGCATATTATAATTGAGAACTCGAGGAAACCCATATGTCAAGGAAATCTGCAGATTTAGACAACAAATGGGCAAACTTGAAACTCAGAAAGAGTACAATACTTCAATCTACATAGAAATTAGGATGATGGGAAAGCAAGAATAAAAGCCTGCAGCAATGGCACTCTCGTTTTTATCCCCAGTATGAGAGATAAGCCTTTAGTTGATCATCACCCAGCTCTACCAGGATGAGAAATTCAACACAGATGTCCAAATAAGTCTCTTTCATAAACAACAATTGACATCACATCACTGTTAGATACCTATGATAGAATGAGCTGGAGTTTCCAAACAGTCATGAAAAGGATAGCTGAATAGGTATGAGAAAATCGGAATAACAGACATGTTTAGCATACTGCAGTAATAATCTTTGCAAGGATACCCCAAATCAAAGAGTTTAGCTAGTGACAGTATTTTAGACTCAAACTAAATCAGAGAAGAGGGAAAGACTTTTAGTTGACTATGGGAATAGATGACCTCAATGATATTTGAAAACTACGAATTTGTATATCCAATAAGGAGTCATCTCTCAATGTAATTGACCATTACAATCATTCTCAGACAGGAAATCTTCAAATCATTTTTGCAAGTGTTGCTGTAGTTGGATTGCAACAACATAGTTTTAAAGATTCGTCTCTTATTATGCCTCTCAATTGAATAGACTTGTTATCTTATTATCCTCTCATTAAGAGACATAGATCTGTCCAAAAAGTAATTCTATGTATGGTATAGAGAGTGATTGGTGCATTTTTAACACACATAAGCAAAAAGACATGCACCCAGTCAACTATTACATACACCAAATGAAATTGATGAATCTATAACACTAATTGTGGGCCAGTGACTAATACTGCCTGCAAACTGAAACATTTACATAGATTTTACAATAGGGAAATGGTTAATTCTTGTACTCCTATGCTTCCATGTCATGTGTCCCATGGGCCATGGATATAATATATTTCAGATTTTACCTCATGAAAGTAGCAAGTGAAATTACCAAAAGTTTGACACATCAAATTGTATCAAATAAGCATACCTGGAACGAGGTACAAGAGCTCTGGTGGCGTCAAGTAGATCCTGTAACTGGACTGCACTTTTCAGTTTTGTCTGGAGGAAGCAAAATAATTAAGCCCTAAAATTAACAGGCATGAACCAAAAAGACTATTAGCCAAGGCAGGAAAGGACCTCTGCTCTTGGCCTTCCTCCATTGTACTTCAGCATCAAATTCAGCAATTTTTCCTCAGTGACCTTCAACTTCACCTTCTGTTTGGGAGTTCTATCACCACTACACCACCCAATGACATTTATTAGAGGAAAAACAAGATGTGTCTAAAGATGTCCATGTAAATTAAAAATGAAAGAAGAGAAAAGAGGAAAACAAGGGGCAAAGAAGAGGAACTTCTTTATCTTTGTTTGGTATAAGGAAATGCACATTTATCTCTCTACATAAGGATTTACAAAAGAAAAGCAATTCCCTTTGCCAAAATGATGATATTAATGGAACAGTTCATATGCAGCTCCAATAGCTACACGTATTCTCCAAAAACAAATTTTAGGCTTTTATAGATATGGATATGCCACTGTATAAACATGAGCCCAGGAAAGTAGTCTTACTGTCTAAGTACGGCAATTACACAACGTAACTCCTCTGACTGCCCAAATGTTCCAATGATTCCACTTCCCTGGCGTGTAAGTCCTTCTGAAGCATTTGCTGGCTCATGGACCTTCCATGGTAAAGTTGGAGGAATGGTAGTAGAAAGATGTGGAGCTTTTGCATCTAGAAACATCTTCCTTAATACACAAGCAGCATCGTCATAATACCTACAGTTGTAAGTACATACCATTAAGAAAATAATAAACAAACAAATCAGAAGGCAAACAATAGTGTCCAAATATGTGATTTCCCTATATCAAATAGAAAATTAATCAAGAAAAGGAAAGTATTTGACAAAGCACAAAAAGAAATTAATCGCTTTGTTCTCCAAATCAGTCATTCCAAAGTGAACAAAAGTGTGTGTCAGGATAGCAAGTTCCAAAAAACAAGATGTAGCTTTAACTTGTCTAAAAGCCAGCATTCAAATTTTAATGAACCAACCACAATTCATAAACCACAGCAACCACCTCAATTCCCAATCTCAGATAAGCATGGTGGGTAAGGCCCGGGTACAACCGTACAACCACACCAGTAACTTCATATGAAACAAAAAAAATAATCCAACTATACATAGCTGGAAAATTTCTCAAACTGTTTCTCTTGGACTTTGAAGCTCACGTCAGAAAAATAAGGGTCAATTACACATGCACTCAGTGTCAAGGATCTAATACTAGTTACTTGATGTGAAAAGACTGAGTAACATTGCTATAAAGTTGGACATTCAACATGGTGTTACATAATGGCTGCATCAACATATCGCAACCACATTGTAAAAGATTTGGGGTTACCGCGACCGATATATTAGGCTGTAACAGCCAAATACAGCCCGACAAAATGGTACTGCTATCGCGAACGCATCCATGTTATAAACCTTTCAAGTTCTTTCTCAACCAATGATAAACAATAGGCTTTTTTTGGGAACATTTAATGATAGTACAAAGAGAAGGCCTAGATAGTGAAAACACGTGAGTAGAAGCTCCCATATCATTTAAAGAAACAAGAAAAAGGTAGTTCACATTCAAAAAGAATATTCAAAAAACATTAAAACACTGTACTTGTGTGAATTTTTAACAAAACTCCATCCATTTACATCGCAAACATAAGAGCGACCCCCGCATCGAAGCAAATCAAATCCACAAACCTGTAACCAATGTAAACATAAACCTGTAACCAATGTAAACATAAATGATCATCAATGAAAAAAACTAAGGATTTTTCTGACAAAAAAGGATGACCTAATGTAGCGCATGGAAATCATTAACTATGTTGCAAATGGAAGAAACTAAAAAATTCATACCCCTTGTCTAAATGCAATGCAGACTTCTCTTGCCATTTGTTTTTCAGCAGGAGTGAGAAGGACAGGATACCTCACCTGTGGGACAAAAAGACACCTATCAATCTATTTCAAACAGCTCCTTGCAACTTTAGCACCTTAAGCATGAGTGGCTTAGACAGAGAAAGTAACCAAACAAATCAAAGACATACACAAGCATTTATAACTAATTGTACCAGAAAATCACTAATGCAGTGTGGCAATTAACAATTTAATTGTGTCATACTCCATTATGCTCTTCTCGTGTTATACACCTTGTTCTCCTTTTCAATCTTCTCCCAAATTTTAAGTTCAAGGTCACTAATACCTAACACACTTAAACAAATATGTAATAAAAGTAGGACTATTGTCTATTTAAATGTTGCTTGAAAATTGTTCAGAGGAGCAAATATAATATAAACTACACATAACCTTAACAGTTGGAATGAACTAAGTTGACAACAGCTTGTGATCTTCGTACTGTAAAACGAGTCATCAATTTCTTCTATCCATTTGGCAGACATTTTTTATTATATAGGAAAATTTTGAAATATTGGGACACTTCTAAAACTCCTTTAAAGTCACGCTTCAGGTAAATAAATGTGTAGAGAGTAGGAAAAAGGAAAAATATAATATAGGGAACACTTAATACATAACTGATACGTTAAGTAGAGACATACTTCTTTTCCATCGGGATTTCTCATTACAACACCGTCAACCACAGGAGACTTCCTTGCTTCAGCATGAGCATAGTGCGGGCCAACTGTGTACACCTATTAACACCAGCAGGGAAGCAAACTACCAAAATTAGCTACATAAAAAGGACCATATCACAACTCGTAAGGATATATAAGTGCCATTTGGTTAAGGGTCTACAACTAAGTGGGAGTGAAAAAGTTCCTATGTTTTCCTTTTATAATTCTTGGTTAAAATTTTCAGCTTGGTTTACATGATCCCGCTACTCCCACCTAGAATTTTTGTCACCCCATCTCACTACAACCTTCATGAAGAAACAACCATGAACAACAATACAGCTAAGTGCCACCAGCCATATCACCATACAACACTCACGAATTCTTTTAAAAGGTCTAATAACAGGTTTCTATGGCATGGCAACAGCACACAAAAAGAATAACTTATAATGGGCATAGAACAAGGGTTCAAGAAAAAATTTCACCATGCTCCGTCAAATCAGTCTCATTGTTTAAACAAGAAAGATATGCATAATAAATTAGTCAATTTTATGACAAAAATTGCATTTAACCAAGTACATGAGACCAAAAAAAAAAAAGAATTATGTACATGGTAGAAGTTCTGTCACCACAAGGCAAGTTAGTTTTCCTTTCCGCTATTCATATTCAATAAAGAGTGTGCAGAACAAGTACATCATTCGGCTACCCACCTTAACGTCTGTTCCACCTGTGTGCATAAATTCTTCATATATATAGGAGCTATCACGTCTCACATTTCGGACATCAGGATGAAACTCACTGGAACGATTCCCAACCTGAACCAATAATGAAACCAAAAGGTATCAATACAAATGATTTGATCCCTTTTACCTTTTTAAATTAAATATTCAGAAGATCTACTATCCAAATTGCTTTACAAAATTATACATGCTAGCCATGTATCTGATAATAATCTAAATTTGATAAATCTGTACTATCCAACATCACAATAAAAAAAGAAATAAAAAAAAAAAAAGTATTGATGGATAGTGCAAAAGACTTTTAACCAGGCATTCATGGACTAGGGCAAGTAATCAAAATCAAAGTTGGCAACTAAACACATTGGGTTCATTGGGGAGCTGTTCTTGGCCTCATCCCTCTTCAGTTGTGTTTGTTATTTAACTTAAATAGATTTCCTTAGAACATGCATCATCTCTAGATTATTCAGCTTTGAAGGATTGGGCCCGTGCTTCTAGAGATAAAATTTTAAGGTGACTAAATCAGTCATCAGCACGGTTATTGAATAAGAAAAAGTTGATGTCCTAGTCAACAGGCTTTCATGGATAACTTCAGTTTCCTCAAAATGGCCGGATAATAGGCTCTTGAAAAGATAATCCCAATGAGTGATGGATATGCAGGTTGGTAGCTCATTTGTTAATGTACGTAATTTCCCGAGATACAGGGCAATGGCTTTTTGCCAACAACGAATCCATCCAGAGAATTCAGGAATTACAAAAATTTAAGAATAGACTATTCCTTCTTTGAATCTCAGAAGCAAAGAAAATATGTAACTGGAAAGGGTGACTATATACAAAGAGCACCATCTTCTAGGAAAAAGATTAATTTAATTTTCGAGCATGTGTCGGGTCAAAGTTTTATATTCTTATTCTTCAGATAAGTGCCACACGGTACCCAATTCTCATCAAGTTCATCTTTCATAAATTGAAAATACAAAAACCTATTTATTCTGGGTGGATTGATATTAAGCTGAATTTACAAAGAACTAAAGAAGATATCTAAAAGCAACAAAATGGCCCACCTTCCGGAATAGCTCCTTCATGCCCCCACCAGCAGAACTAGGATAATATATCATAATGCTGTGGTTATCACCTGATTAAATGCATATGTAAGCTGTTAGAATAATTTTATGCAGAGAAATAAAACAAAATGAACTGTAAGAGGTATATGTCTCAGTTTCATTCAAGGAGATTTCCATTAATCATAATAAAGGGATAGTGACACCATATACTTTCATTGTTACGGAGTAAAAATTAATGGTTACAATATTTCCTATTTTGGCCGTTTCAAATTAATGGTTACACTAGCACTTTCGCTTCTTTTGATAACTTTGTACTACCTTATTTTATTATTTTTTTAAACAATATGCCTCTCCTATACATTAACTTATTACTCATTTCTTATAATATGGCCCATATATTTTTAGTCACTTCTATCTAACAGTGCAGCCACCACAGCTCAACCATAAGCTTGAATTCAGAATCCAGAGTGGCCACACAGTACACTACAAAAAGCCATTCCTACCCAAAAAAGTCACTCATAAAAACCACCTTGTATTCTATGAGACATACTCATCAAATCGAACAAAAGAATCAACAATGAATAGCATGATATAACAGATAAAATAATTATTTAAACCTACAAGCATTGGAAAATTTTATTTAATAGAAAAGTCATAACGAACAAATCCTAAGCTCTAAAGTACTCAAAAATATTAACTGGCTTACCATCAACAGGTTTTTCCACAAACGGCTTTGAGAAACGCTCGCCATGGACTTCAACATAATCATCTTCTTCAAAAAAATAATCCACTTCTTGAAATGGAAAATCTCTATTCACAAGAGCATATCTAGGAACAGGAATACCAAATATCTCGAGACGCTTACATATGCAAAATAGGAAGTGAGGGCATCAGTTCCACTTAGGAGGACAGATTTGAACAAAGAGAAAACAAAATATAGAGCAAAATTAGAAAAGCAAGTAAGCAACCATAAAAATCATGAGCAATAAGCCTAACTGCTCTTAGTGCTACCGTGCTATAACACCTGCACTACTAGTGATTTTTTTCTTAATTTTTACTTTTTAGCATTAAAATGATAATATATATAGGAAATTAAAAAAAAAAATTAAAAAAAAAAAAAAGATGATCCTTAAATCACAAGTATACTGTTAAGCAAATTCAACATATGTTGTGATAATAAATATAGGATTTCCAATATTGTTACTAAAAAAAAAGGCATACACCACAAGGCTAAGGACCCAAACTAAATGAACAAAAAGAATTAAGTTGTATGAACTGAAATCTCAACATTGCTATTACGAGAATTGCAGAACCTTATGGGCAACCTGAGATTTTGGAAAAACATTAGCCAGTAAACTTAAGATCAGGGTATTGTTTCAAAAAGCAATTTAAAAATATTTAAGCAGCCAAATATGCAGATTCAAAAGGAATTAAAATCCAAATTCCAGGCTGTAACGATGAAAAAGAAATTGTAAATATACAATAGAGTCCTTCAAACAAAAATATACAATAGAGAAGAAATTACATGTGCAGAAATTGATATTGTACCTATGCAGTAAATCAAAGCAGACAAGCAAATATATGTTTCATCTGGAGAGAAGGTATATCTGATTGACAATAAGCATCTAAAAAGACAAACAGCATGAACGCTAATATATTTTTTGTCTCCGTTAGCACCAACGATGGTAATTCTTATGATGACATAGTTAACACAGTAATACATACATCATACACCTTCCTTCTGTCGTGCAGCAGGTGTTGAGGCTCCAGTTCATTGATTAGATAGGGCCTAAAACACAAGAAAACCCTCAATATACACGCATATATACAACATAATCTGTACAAGACAAGAGGGTAAGACATTTGAATGCATGAAGGATGCCTGAGCAAAAGTAGGCATGTTATTTAGCAATCATATTTCATATATGCTCTTACCACATTATAATGCAACTACTGCACCCATCCCATACTGACATAAGGAAATGCTACGAGGTAATAAAATGGGGAAAATCCTAAAACAATTTATGTCGATTGGCATGGAAGGCTCACATGGTTGTCAAATTATTGCATGTCTACTTGTGAACAAAAGATTTCCTTCAATAAATTGGTAGTCATGATCGGTAGAAGAAAAATACACAGATCCATATAAGTCAACCCATGCCAGTTTTACCCACTAATTAAGCCATCCAAAGTTCCAATCACTTCTATGAATATACGTGAATAGATTTGATTGGAGGGGGAGGACTCTGAAAGATTAGATGCTATGCTGAATAAACTGAATTATTGAAAGTTTGTTACTTACTTCCTTAAAGCTGCATACGCCTCAACTTTTTCAAGAGGATAGCCAGTCGAGTAGAAAGCAATAAGACAATCGCACAAAGGCCAGCTGCAAAAGACTATTCATCAGTAACAAAATAAGAGAACAATAATAATTTCAAATAAAGTCTGGAGATGGTATGACAAGTAAAGCTAAATCTTGTAAGTTTCAAACAGAGATATATTTGAAAATGGAAAAAACGCACATAAAATCATAACAGCCATTAACTAAAAACCAAGAGGCAGTGAAACATTCCGGATTTCTGATGACTATATCTTTGTTATGGAACTAATAATACATGAAATCATAACAGGCATTCAGCCAATCTCACAGCCTAAGGAACCAATCATGCTCACTACATATCTGATCATCTCTTGAAGGAATATCCTATTATCTGATTTCTAAAAGTGCAATGACCTCAATTATTAATTTTGTAATATATTTTATTATTTCATACAATTTCCAGAACATACGGTATACAGGTAGGTACTCCTGTTCATGAAAGTGCCGAAGAGATAACTAAGTATGAAGTAGTTTTGTTGAGTATTTCAACTCCAAATGAGAGAGTGGGTGAAAGCAATAGGAATATCAAGAAATGTGCAAGTACATCCTTTTTCTTTTCGATAAGAAACAATGCTTTTGAAGGATTGCCTAGCAGACACTTCTCTAATTGAATCTGATAGCTACCCCACAGGCCACAGATGTGAAAAGGGCATTTATCAATATATAAACCAGAACTTGTATTCTGCTCTATAGTGTCTATAAAAGTATAAATGGAAAAAGATATGACTTTAAGAATATACTTCATATTAAGGAGAAAATTGTTTGAACTTTAGAATCACTAGGACTTCTTGAATAGCAGGGTGAAAAGAAAACTTGAAGAATCCCAATTTATTTTCCCAATACTCAATGGAGATAGAAAATAGCACTCCCTATGCATCAACCAGTAAACATGACTCACAGGAATTGGAAGACCTTCAGGATCAAATATGTTCAACAATAATTTTTTACAAAGATTGATAATTTGGCTGCATAAAGGTAAATCGTATAATACGAGATCTTTCAGAATCAAATTATTGATAAATGCCCATCTTCTCTTTCAGATTCTTATATGGAGATTCAAACTAACTATATTACACGTACCAAACAAGCAGGTCTAACTATTGAGTTCTGTTGCTACAAAAAGCTAGTGTCCCAAGAATGTGACAGCGGTACGCAGTAGGGGGGGGGGAGGGGAGCACAATAGGAACAATATAATGTGTTTGTCTTGGGATTTGACTATAAAAAAAAATCTCATATAAATTATTTCTAGATAATCCTTTTCTTCGTTCTCAAATTTGCAGAAAAATTAAATTTAAAATACAAGAATCATGTAATGCTGATTTGTTGAATCAATCTTGTCATGCAAAATTTTGCAAATAATTATAGAGTTTCAAAAAATGTATACTTCTAGAAATTTGAACTTGGAAAATTAAGAAATGAAATAACACAAAAAAAAAAACACAAAAAAAAAACAAAACAAAACTACACATTCCCTTGGATAAAAAAAGAATTATACAAGCACGAGGCATCAAGTACCAAACCACAGATTAAAATAAACAATAATCTAGAAATTTACAAAAATGGAAAAAAAATCATAGAAGAGTAATATAGTACTTACCAAAATAAATCATATTTTCATGAACAAATGCACTTATTTCAAAACTATGACCCAATTCACCCAAGGAAGATACAAATTTACCCAGTAAAAGCTATAGATATATTGTCTCCATGTCTCCTAGCCACATAGTTGTAAAAAAACAAGTTCCAAGTTTCAAAAAAAAGAAAAAAAAAAGGGTGGGGGGGGGGGGGGGGGGGAGGGGGGAATATTCTAAAATTCTAATACATTATGAGCTATTAGTATGAAGTATTTTTAAAAACATCTCTATATAAAATAAGTATCCAATGAAATAGTATTAATCAAAGATACTTGTGCAAGATATTAGATATATACTAGTGTATCACAAGGTGCATAGTACTCCTTTCATCCACTAATATTTTTTGTACTTCCCTTTTAAGTTAGTACCAAAAAGTTTCCCCACTTCTATTTTGGGATAGATACTTGTTTTATCTTATTTTATTTTCTTACTCTATCTACTTTAAATTTTTTTATTTTACATTTAATATATCTTAATCTTCGACCCCAACCTTAAGATGAAATATATTAAGAGGTGGATGGAGTAGTATATTCTTCCTTGTTCTATCAATTTCTGCATAAATTATCTTGAAAGCTAAAAAGATATGGTGATGTTAAAATAGTACAACAATCAACAGATTGTAAGTACTAATTCGGTTGATGCTCGGTAGCTGTCGCTCGTTCCCACAAATATCAACCAAAAAACAGTTCAAGATACTCACTAAGAGGACATTTACTTGTAGCTACAGATAGGAATTTATGCTCAACATTTTGACTACTATTCTACAATAATTTACACACAAGTCAACCACGTAATATTCATGTACCAACTATTACACCAGCAATTATTTTCCAAGTCAACTTCAACCAGCTACAATTAACAAATATTAGTCTCTCGCTGGTCGAGCTTTCCACAAAAAAAGATGCAAGTATTTCCTTTGGCTAGAGGGAGCTGTGAGAAAGCAAACAGCTGAAAAAAATAATATTATAGCATTTTTTCAGTATATTACTGGATTCTACCATAAAAGGTGTGATATGTACCTCTCAATCGGATCTTCAAGTATAACTTTGTCGCCGAAAAGTATTATCTGAAAACAGAGCACAAAAACAATGATTAGATTACAAAACGAGTAAAAACTTTCAATAATGCTAATTAATCAATGAAAATCCAAAATTCTTTCTAAAAATTACAAAAAAAAATCAAAAAAACAAAATTAAAATACCTCGAATTCGCCAAATGCATCTAATCTCTCCAGAATCTGCTTCATCGGACCCGAAGATGCCTGCAAAAAAAATTCAAATAATTTTCGAAAATCAAATGCTTAACAATCAAATGAACACAAATAATTGAAAAAATTAACAAAAAAAAACAATCAGCTGAACACAAATAATTTAAAAAATTGACAAAAAATTACGATTATGATTTTTACAACTGGAAAATTAAAGCAAAAACAACCTCAAAATCACATTTCACCTTCTTTTCCATCACACAAACGCCGAGTTTAACCTTCCATTGTATATCTCCGGCGCCGCCATTGGCGGTTTTCGGCGAAGAATTCACCGTCATAATTCCGTCGCAAGGTTTCTCTCTCCGCCAACGCAGATTTTTTTGAGAAATGAGAAAATATCGGAGGTTTCACCGCCAAGTATTTTGGCAGTTGCAGTTTATATAGGTTGTTCGTCGGTATACGTGTATTGTTTTGTAGAGGAGAGAGAAAATTAAGAAATGGAGATTGGAGAAGAAGGCTAAATTAAAATTAGAAAGATAAAAGGAAAATAGTGAAAATTAAAAGAAGGCTTGAAAATTTCGTTACTTGAAAAAGGCAGAGTATCACGCGTTGGTAGGCGGAGAGTAGGAGTAGACGAGTAGTATATACGAAATTACGATAGTACTCTTTTACTAGCTACGACTCTACGAGTAGTCAAGAAGTAGATTTTTTTAAACAAAATTAATGGTTTCATGCACATGATATGATGTGGATAGGAAAAATGAAAATGAAATGCAACCGAAGGTGACATCGGATACTCCTTTTGTTTCAAATTAATCGCAATATACTACTTTTAGTTTAAATTGTTCATAAAACAAACGATTGATTAAAAAGAACAATATGTGATTGTAGATTTTAAAATACTAGTTGTGCCATGATATGACTTGAAGGCCATTACTTTTAAAAACGAAATATGCCACAATCAAAAGGTTATCTAATGATGCACGCCTTATGACATGTTCAGATTTACTAAACTGATTTGAACTAAACTGATTGGAGCTGGATTGAACTGAAATTAAGCTGAAATGAATAGGTCCTCAGGCCAACGCAATTTTCTCCGGAATTTGTTGTTCAGACCTCTATTGTTTGTTGTGCTAAGATTTTTCTCGATGAGTTAACACATAATGAGGTAAGGGGCATATGTTAATAAGATAATTGAAAAGGATATTCCAAATAACGCATTTGGCGTTGCTCGTGAAGAACTCAATGTCTCGTGCAACTCTACATACACACTTCAAAGTCACGAGCACCCAGTGTAAGCAAGTCTACCTGTTACGCATAACCCACGACCGATCTCATCGAACAAGGTTGTTCGATTGGGCACCAAATACATTATTTGTTTGTTGGCGAGACTCGTCGCCTAGTTAGGCGCATTAGCGCCTTTGGACAAATTGAAATCGTCTGGTTAGGTTAGCTATTGGGCCCGAGAAGATGACGAAAACAAAGTTACTAGTATTAAGACATTTCGGCTAATCTGAATGGGAAAAGCTGCCTGATCAGGCATGAGAGCAAAATCCTCTTCTTTGGATTTTAATTTCAACAATAATTTCAACGATCCCTAATAATGCAAACAAGGTAAAGATATAAAATATGAACAATAATAGAAAGGCTTGGTACTCAAGTGCTAGCTAGTATCAAAAGGTTAGAACTTACACATAGTGGAATGAGATGTTCAACACTATCTAGTGAGCGAAGAAGGAACCTTATAGCACACATCTCACCTTTACACTTTGTTTGGATAACAAATAAGAAAGGACATGAAGGGGAGGGAAAGAAGGGGAAGGGAATGGAAAAGAAAGGGAGGGGGAGATGAGCTCCATTTTAATTTCCCTCCAAATCTTTCCAATTTTGGAGGAATTATGCTTATTAAAGAGATTGAAAACGGATCCCTCTCTCCTTTCTCTTCCCCATCCCTCAATTCTTTTACACAAACAAGAGAGTTGTCTTGCTCAACTCCCTTTTTCCTTCCATCTCCTTCTATCCAAACAAAGCGTTAGAGCTTTAGTAACTCAACACACAATATTATCCCCTTAGGTGATCATGGTACTTTAGGAAGACAAGACCAATCTTCCATAGAATGAGGCCAACCCTTCGCATTGACGTAGGTGTTGATTCTATGTGTAACTCATATATTCCCAACAAATGCAAGAACCATTAATACAAAACATTATGTATAACTCATATGTTCTTTTTGCTAATCCAACAACAATACATGCATTGGAATTTACAGAATAGTAGTTAACCTTTTAGTTAAGTTAGTCCTTTTACAATTTCGTTTCTAACCAAAAAATATCCAACCGAACATGCTTTAAGAGTGTAAGCTCTTCGCTTAAAAAATAAATTACTATATACTCTGTATTTATAATGGAATTGAACACACCATGAACCTTTGAAGTACTATATACCGAGTATTACTTTTACTATACTTTTTTTATCATATCAATTTTTTATATGTTTTACTATTTATATTCCGTAATAGATATATAACTATAAATATTGATAGTTAAAATTATACATTGAATGTTTGCCGGTCACTCAGTTAGGCCCCGTTCTCTTCACCTTGATTTTGCTGAACTGAAATTATTTTTACTGAACTGAAATTAATTTTGCTGAACTTAAATTATTTTTACTGAACTTAAATTTATTTTACTGAACTGAAATTATTTTTGCTGAAACTGAAATTATTTTTACTGATTTTCTATCATAATTCCTCTTTAAGAAAACTGAATTTTACTGAACTGAACTTATTTTTACTGAACTGAAATTATTGTTACCGAACTGAAATTACTTTTACTGAACTGAACTTATTTTTACTTAACTGAAATTATTTTTACTTAACTGAAATTATTTTTACTTAACTGAAATTATTTTTTTAAGGTGAAGTGAACAGGGGGTCTTAGTGCTGATTATTATGAAATGAAAGAAGACGAACAAAATAAATTAAGATAGAAAATACGAAATACTCTACTAAATGTCTAATTATAATTTATAATAGATTAGGCGTAGATATTTCAGTTTCTTAACGAACACCTCTAGATATTTTGCAAATAACAAATATACGGTGTATATAAAACTATATGACAGGTTAGATAATGATGAAAAGTGAGTGTTTGGATGAAGATAAAGGAAATAAGTGGGGTAATGTTGGATTCTGGAATATGCATGTGATATTATTGAAGCTCATGGTGGTTGTCTACTGGTCTATTTACAGATATAAAGCTTTGTGTCTTTTCTCTTTTGTTTTTTTTTTTTTTTTGTTTTTTTGGATGTTCTTGTCATTCGTAGAGTAGAGCTAGAACGTCGAAATGTACTGGTATTCGTTTAAGGGCTTGTTCACATTTATTGAAATGAGGTGAAATTGATTGGAGTTGATTTGAACTGAACTGAACTGGACTAAATTGAAATGAGATGAAATGAAATGAATATTTTATGAGAGAAGGAAATTTAAATAATGAGCTGAAATGAACTGAACTAATTAGAGTTGAGCTGAACTGATTAGAGCTGAGCTGAACTGAACTGAAATTAAGCTGAAGTGAACAGACTCTAAAATTTACATTATAGTCTAGGGGGTCATTTGATTAACATAGGAAGTGGAAATTTGCATAAACTTCTAATACTAATAGGAATTAAATTCCACGATTAAATTCATGGGAATTTCATAAAATTGTTTGGTTGGTATTGAGAAAAGTGAATTCCCATGGGAATTTCAACTTATCTAGGGGGGATTAGGGGTCTATTCTGATCTACTGAACTGAGCTAAATTAAATTGTTTACGAGAGAAGGAAATTAGGAACTAAACTAAATTGAACTGAAATTAAGATGAAATGAACATGCCTTAGGTAAGTAAACTCCTACATTTTGTGGAAATTGAAAATTCGTAGGAATTTCTACTTCCCCCATTTCACCAAATTTTATTCAACCAAACAACTTACCAATTTTGCAATTCCTAATAGCATCCAATTCCTTGATTTTTTATGTAAACCAAACAACACCCCGGAGTATTTATTTATTTATTTATTTATTGAATTGTATGGAGTAAGTCACATTTGAATTAGTGATTTTCTAATGAAGTTCATAGGTATTGAACAAATGTTTCTCAATTGAAAATGACATTATCGTTTATTTTTCTTAAGGTAAGGGAGAAAACCCTGATTGAACATCAACTCTTTACAGTTTTTTGGTTCATTGTTTACCAGTTAAACACTTTAAAACTGAGGGGGGAGGGTTTGAGATTTTCACCCTCACTACTCAAAGTGTCACTAATTTTCTTATCTAAAGTCTTTAAGGAAAACTCCCAATTTCATGGGAAAATCTCTGTTTCCCATGGTGAGAAACGAAATTTGTTTCTCACGGGGGCATTTTCTTGAATAAATCAACTTTATTGTGGGCTCCACAGTTGAATAAAGTTGTTGATTTATTTACGAAAATACCATGTGAGAAACAAAATTTATTTCTCTCCATAAGTAATTGGGGCACCCTCCAATTTCATAGTTTGCTTGGTACATTAACCCTCATTAAAATACACATGACTTAAGAATCAAACATGAATACATAATGATGTTGTATTGTACCAAACCAATACTATATATAGATTATCACATGATAAGATAAGCTCATAATTAGATTTAATATTAAAAATTCATAACTATTTAATTTGATTCCCTCTTCACTACACTCTACTTCACTATAAGATATGGACTGATGACCCCACATTGCATCAATTTAGATTCCAGTTTTGATTCAAAAAATTAAGCTGCTAATCTAACATGAACATACGTGTACTATAAACATACTTAATTTAGGGTGGCCTTATGATAATTTTAATTAATTCAAAAACTCCCTTATGTAAACCACCCCTTCCATATTCTCTGGCCTTTCCCTTTCTATACTCAACACATCCCCTCTCTTTGACCACCGCCAGCAAGCCACCGAAGCCCACAGTATCCGCCACCAACCTGTCAATTAAAAAAATTATATAATTACTCTCTCGGATCCTTTTTGTTCTTTGGAAAAATTTACAAAAATAATCCCAACTTTGAATTATTTTTTAATAATCCGAATTTTGATGTGAGCTTGCTTCCAATAATCCCAACCGGTCATCTACTCCCTCCGTTCCCGAAAGAACGACCCATTTGGCCTAATTTTAGTCCCAAAAAGAATGACCTATTAACATTAAAATACCCACCAATTTGCAACAATATTTGTGCAAAATTAGCATCCTCATACTCCGTATAAAATTTTGTTTTTCCATATACTTTTATTAATATCTCTCTCTACTTTTTTGTAAACCCCATATAAATTTATCTTTCCAATATATTTTTACTTCTTTTTATTTAACTTTATTAATACCTGCGAAATCAACCCAAAAGGGTCGTTCTTTCGGGGACGGATCACAAGTTACTTGACCCGTGTCAATATATGACTGGTTCAAAAAAAATAAAAATAAAATTAAAATTAAAATAAAAATAAAACTAAAAAAATTAAATGAATATTTAATTAATTAGCTACAAAATCCCACCAATCTTTTCCCACTGGTCAAACTACCCTCCCCGTCCCCACCTCTGTTGACGA